TTCGATAAAGGAAAATGACAATAAATAAAATCAGCTTCAGGATTCAAACAGCGTTATTTATCCCAGAAGTACATTTACAGATTTACAGATTTACGACCACATGTCAGCAGATGAACAGGCCAGATCCAGACACAATCAAATAAAAAATACAACACCAGAAATGCATTCCATCAAAGGTAAATAAAGGAATAAACCTTAAAGGAACTGACCATAAACTCATGTTCAGCTGTTGAGCATTTAACAGCCTGAAAGCTGAAGGATAATAAGAGTTATAGAGTATCTGTCTGTTCTCCATGCAGGGTAAAGATAGCGCCATCCAGAAGACGTGGCAGCGCCACTACATGAAGCACTGTGAGGGATTGTTTTCCAGTCCTCGTGTGTCTACACAGAAAGTCCACCAGAGGGCGCTATTGTCAAAAGGTTGTGGGCCACCTCCCCGGCAGAACCAGCACACTATAATGATAGACAGAAGAATCTGTGCTCATGGGGTTTTAAACACAGGTAATTACTCTACCTCTCAATCATACAGCAGAGCAGGAGGAGGTTATATTTACAATTAATGAGCCTCACACTTAATTAATGTGTTATATTAACACAAGGGAAATTAACTACACTACATGAGTCCATCGGGGGTTAAACATTTGGGAGCATGCCAGCTCATCGTGTCAAGAGGTTGTTCAGTTTGAGGACAGATCAGAACGTGATGCTGATGACACAATTACCCCAAGTAGCCCCCATCCCCTACCCTGCCCTCACAGATGGAGGAGTGCCAGCTCTCATACTCACACAGTACTGTGTGTAACTTTATTTCAATCAGGAGAGACGTCATGTTTTTGAGTCAAAAGTCCTTTGTGCAGAAAAGTATGAGAGATGTGCAATGTCTCCGGTGATTAGACCCCATCGTCTTGTCTTAATGAATTTAAAGGGGTTGTGAGGCCAAGTCCGACAGCAGGAGGACAGGGAAGAAAGACCCCCTTATGTAGTCTAGACACTGGAGGTGGTGGTGAAGGATGTGATGACGTCTGCAGAGATCGCCCTGGAGAGATTGTTTTGAGGTGACTGGGGTTGATGAGAGTTGCTCTGATCCAAATGTGAAATGGTAGACTGACAGCAGCAGAGAGGAGGGATTTAAAGTTGGGAAGGAGCAGGATGATTGGATGATAGTGATCGTGGACAGATCTTTTTTTTTAAGGACTGCTGTCCTTCCTTTATTCATAAAAGTGTGTCTGATTCTGCTAAAGTAGATGTCGACAAGCCCCCTTTAAGTTAGTTACTATCAGACCTTCTTCTGGTTGACCTTGCCAACAAGTGTTGCAAATTAGCATCCACTATAAACACTCACCCCCATTAATATATAAATAAATAGAAATGCATTAATGGTGAGATGTCAGAATGAGGCGTCTGCACAGGGACTTGCTTGACGGTGTCTTGAGCATGTGGGGGTTCAGTGCCTTGCCTTTTTCACCTCAGTCGTCCTCTGGATGATTCCTCCAGCAAACAGATCCAGTTTACTTTGGTCCGTACTGGGACTTAAACTGGGGACTGTCCAGTTTATCCACGTCCAAGACTGAGTTACTTCAGCCCCATGATTGATCTCATTATTGTTGCCTGCTTATTTCTTTATTTCTGTCACTTGAATCTCATTTTGATTTCCTTTTTGTTCGAATGCAACGAGTGAATTTTCCCTCTAGCGCTCAGTGATGTTTATCTCATTACTGATCATCCAATAAAAGAAAAAGAAGACTTCCTGTTTATCAAATCCCATTAAACTTTATTTTGTATACATATTACATTTCACATTTAACATCATAAAAATGACCCAGATTGTAAAAGTTCACAGATAAGGACGTTTTAATACTGAAGACGATGCCATCTGAATACTTTACAGAATTATTCAAAGCTCTCATTGTTGATGTGATGCGGTATGCCGAGCAGCCGTAACACACCTCAGAATAATCTACCTACCTACTTTTAGTCTATAAAAAATGACTATATATACATATGTGTTGTTAATACCTACAGAGTTTTCATTATCCGAGCTGTCTATAAACTTAAACGGTGCTTTGAAGAGTGACCTCAGCTCAGCACAGAGTGTTTGTTCTGTTTACATGTCATGAAATGTTGCATGCCGTTAAAAAGAAGTGGAGTTCACATCATGCAACATTGAATAATTACATTAATTATAATCTTATAAAAATCCATAAACATAAAAAATATTGCACAAGACAAAATGTTCTCTGTTATATGTTTGATTACACATAATGCTGCATGAAATGTTGATATTCAAACTTGACTGTAAGCCACTTCACCTGGACACCGCTGTGTCCTTGGCACAATAAGATCTGCAGAATATTTTCGGATGGCTTGGAGGTGCAAAACAAACGCACAAAGCTTCAGACAAATTTACAAGATGTGAGACATTTTTACGAGATTAGTTTGTTTTGGCTTAAAGACTATGTGAACAGAGGCGCTGCTTGTCAACAGGCAAGACTGATAAAGACTTGGGGCCCCAGACCAGTACCCTGAGGGCTCACAAATTTTAAACCACTGCAGAGGTCCTTTCTTTTTGCGTTTTATTCAGTGCTGGCTGTGCTCGGGAGCGCTTGCATGAAGCGTTTGTGCTCTATGAAGAAAAGTGCTACACCTCCCTCCTGTCTCTATGACAACAATCTGTTGATGACGGCAGCTGTATGACCGACACTGCTCCGTTACATTTTACTGCATATTTTATAATTGAGATCATTTTTTTACCCGCTTAGACACAGAGCGAGTGGGATGTGGATACAAGACACAATCTGTAGGCGGCAAAACTACGGGGAATATCATACAATTGGAAAAAAACGCCGATGACGTCAGCCGCACCACTCTGAAAAGTTGAACGATTTTCAACTTAAGCACTCGGAGCGGCCGCACAAAAAAAAAGGAGCGGTCGGAAAAAAGACACTGTGTGTTGCGTCTTTTCTCCAGGTGGATGCTTTCTGCTGCGAACGCTCTCTCCTCATTAAAAACAATTGAAAAAAAAAACAGCTGGCACTCAAAAAGAAACTCTTGGTAGACACGGGTCCTAATGTAGACATACCACCAAAACAAACAGATTAACCGCTCATTCAATCACTTCCAGTATGTGGTACATTTCCTTTCTGGCAAGATTCTGTCATTTGTAAATTTGTTTTCTAAAATGTAAATTTGTCTCAAGCTTTGTCAAAGTGTTTCACACTTTGTAATTTTGGTTCGCTCTTCCCAGCCACCATCATATTTGTTCAGCAAGCATCAAAGAATATTATTTATGTCCTAACGGAAAAATCTAGAAAAATATATTTCTGTAATTTGGATTATTAAATATCTGAGGAAGAGGTATTTTACTATATGTAACAAATCTCGTTCAGCAATTTTTCCTTCAGCACATCTTACATTCACATCGGCTCCATATCAAAACAGACTTTCATACCTACTAACTCGGTCACATTCTGCATAAAGCTCCTTCTATTAAGATAAACAAAATGTGTTCAAATCAGATCTGATAAACACAATCGACCCGTGTTGGCCCGGTGATCCTTTGAAGTTTTGTTTTTTTAATTCTGTTTATTAGTGATTCAAACTAATCATCATCACAGGAATGAAAGGTTATCTAAGAAGGTTAATGGTTTATGTACATTATAGTAAAATAGATGCAAAGCACACTTGTGCTGTTGTTGATAGTAATTTATAAGAGTAGTTCATTGTTGTAATATTCCCGTCTGCCAGTCCAGAAGAATATCCAGCGATTTACTTAAGGTGGAAATATTCAGACCTTCTGACCTCCATCAGTCAGAAGAATACATGGACTTATAATCTTCGATCTCAGGACCTTTTCTGAACTGAACTGGGGAGAAAGCCGTTTAAGTTTTCTGCTCCCTTTACTTGGAGCAATTTACAAATAGAGCTGAAACATAACGAGCTGCTCTCATTGGACGCTTTTAAGAGGATGTTAAATGACTTGGGGGCAGACACATCTGGCTGTAGATGTCCTCCATGGGTTCCCTTGCTCTTCAGATTTGTTAATTGTGTCTTTTAATGTCTAATGATTTTGTTTTTGTGTTAGTATGTTTGCCTGCTCGTTGTTTGTGTGAAACTCTGGCCAGGACACTCTCAGAAAATAGATTTTTTAGTTTCTTTACTGGTTTAATAAAATAACATTTTCAGATTTAGGCCTTTTATATCTTATTAGACCATTAAAAATATCTGGATTTGAAGCTTTCGAAACAAACCTTTCCTTTGGTGAAGTGACCAATGAAAACAAAGGAATTGGATGCTCTAGGAGTCCTGGCTGCCATGCAAAGGAAGCTGTTAACCGAAAGTCATTGTGATGTGCAAATTGTATACAACTCAAAAGAGGTCACGAAAAAAAGAAGAGTAAAGTGCAGCAAGAACTTCAAACACAGATTAATATGAACCCTGCTCCCTCCCAGTCCGTGTAACTAATCAATCAGTTTGTTTAAAAACTGGGATGTCCTAAAAACTCCACTTTTTAAATGATTGATACTCATTCAATATGTGTTAAAGGTCACATATAGTCTCCTCCTCCTCTTCAACCAGTTTAAATAAGTCCCAGAGCTCCTCAAAACATGTGTGTGAAGTTTCTTGTTCTAAATCCACTCTTATCCTGTATTTGATCATGCCTATAAACCCCTCTATTTCAGCCCTGCTCAGAACAGGCTGTTTCTGTGTCTGTACCTTTAAATGTAAATGAGCTGTGTCTGACCACGCCCCCTCTCTGGAAGGGCTTGGGTTGGCTCGGGCTTTCTCGCTCCATGTCCTATTGTTTACAGAGAGAAGGCAGACTCAGAGGGCAGAACAAACACCTAGCTGTGGGAGTGTCACCCACCTGGGGGAGGGGTTACTGCCCTTTGTGATGTCATGAAGGGAAAATCTCCAAATGGCCTGTTTAAGCACATATTTTCTGAAAAGTGGGGCAGGCTAAAGACGGAGAGGATGGACTTTTCTAATCTTTGGTGGGTTTGTAGACAGACTAGAGACACATATTAGTGTTAGAGAAACATGGAGAAGTGTATTTTGTATAATATGTGACCTTAAAGTATCTGTCAATGTTAATGCAGATTATCGGAAACAAGTTCAGACTGAGTTTTGGGAATTGATGACATAACATGTCAGAAACGGTAAACAAGCACCTACAGTATAACACACACAAAAAGCCTTTTTTATGCAGTAAGTGCAGCATATTACAACTCAGAAGTGCTAACTAAAGAGGTAAGTGAAACTTGAGCACAATGACATTAGGTGCTAATATACGCTTTGTAATGTGAACAACATACTTATTTTAACCCTGCTAACTTTTTAAAGTTTGCACAATTTTGAGCAATGTTCTCATGAGCAAATTGAGGGAATGTTTAACAACCCATAATATTCATTTTTCAAGCCAAGTTCCCTCCCAACCTCAATACAGATGATTTTACTGATTAGTTTCTTTCTTTGTTGCTAAAGACTCATGCTGTTGAGTTTGGCTTTGAAAACCTGTAATCCCTGCATCCACTGCATGAACACATCCTGCAACTTTGCAGTGTGAGACTCTATTAAAATGCTATCAGCACTGTGTTGGCTCTACAGGCAAATAGTGGACTTTTTCACCGCTACTCAAGTTCCTCCTTTCTGATGGTCAGTTCAGACTGTTGCTTTTTAACCCTCATTTAAAGTTAGAGAAACAGGAGACAAAGTTCAACGTGGTCAAACCCTATCCTCTCTCATCTTCTGTTAGTTCTCTCTGAAACAAGAGCTGACAATAAAGTGAACAGGTTTAACCTTCACCTGAAGTTTCGCTCCCCACAAAACCAAAAGGTGTGAATAAAAGAATCGGCAGTCGGGAGGATTGAAAGAATCAGGTCTTAGTCAGGACACTTGCGAATGAGAGTAATTCAAGCTGTAGTTCAAAATGACCCCAAACGATGCTAACACCCAGTCTCTTCTGCCTCAGCACGGAGACGACGACATCTGCTCGTACTCTGGACACTTGAGGAGAGCTGGGTAGTGTGAAGGATTCATCTGCAGTGAGGCCTCTGAGGAGATGGAAGAGGGACTGCGACCACGCCCTGCCCATGCATCCGGATGGAGGAACTGGCCGGAGTAATCTGAGCAGTTGCTGAGTCGAGGCCGGTAGAAGTTCTGGTGAGGCCGGTACATTTCCTCCGCTGTGTAACGCTTCATGAAGAGGTACACCGACATGACACCTGCCGCCTGTGGGGATATAGATGTAAAACGACAAAGTCTCATCAGTAAATCATATTTCCTGCATAGTTTCTTCATGCAACTAGCAACATAGTATACGTTTTGTTGTCTTATTTTCAGAGTCATCTCCAGCATATTGCTATTTTTTGCAAATGCACTTGGCATAAAAACCGATTCTGATTCTGATTCTTTGGGGACATCTCATCACCCATCGCATTTTATTTGATGATGATGTCACTCTGGGAACATGAGCCAACTTTTTTAGGCATTCAGGTGTAGCCAGCGGTTAATAACTTCCAACCAACCAATCAAATAAGCAACTTGTGAAGTGAAGTGTTCAGATGAAAAGCACGTTTGGCTTTATGTCTGCAAAATAAACACTGTTATTTGATGGTTTGTTTTGGAGCGCCCATTTACAATATCTGTTTCTGGTGAGGCTCAGTTAGTTGTAAATAGTAAGTTACACAGAGGCATCACTCCGACTTACTGTAGTGGTATGAGCCTTAAAACAAGCAGATTTACTTGTGATTTACTTGCTATAAAAAGGTCTTAAGCCAAAGTAACAGCATCATGATGCAGATTTGTAAAAAGTTAACAGTCAAGCTTTGTCAGCTCTGTCCTTAAGAGGAGAATTAAAAAAAAGTTGTTAAATGGAGGTTAGATCCATAATTTAATTGACTTTGCCATAAAGAGTCAAGCCGATTGTTCGCTCCAGTTAAAATGTTTGATCTACAGCAGATTGTTTACTGCACTTGCATGCCGATCTCTGTGTATGAAGACTGTGTATTTCTATCAGATTAAAGATATAGATAGTTTTTTGGTTGATCAGATACATATATTAATGGACTCTCTGCACACCCCTACAGTGGACTTTACATTTTTCACACTCATCCTATCAAAGTTACCTCAGTAAGCAGGAAGGAGATGGCAGCAAAAGCAAAAGACCAGCCGTACTTGTAGCTGAAGTACGCCTCATTGGTTTTGGTTCGGTTCAACATTTCATCATTAATGTTTGAGATGTACAACACCAGACCCACAACCAGAGAGAGACCTAAAGGCAAGGTGAAATAAATAAAGACAGAGAGATGAAGAGTAGGAAAACATGTTGATAGGGTTAGCTTAGCATCACTCTTAATCCGGCAAATTATTACAAACCATGCATGCATCAAGTGATCACAGATTTGATTTGAATATTAACAGTCTGCTCTCCTTTAAACTTTTGACCGGCACAGAAAAGATCAGAACCCTCTCTGTAACTCTTTAACATTAATATAATTAATTTTGGGCACTTTCTCACATGCATTTGGGAACTGTGTTTGCTGAATCATACATTTGGAAAAAAAAAACAACCACGTACCTGACAGGATGAAGAAGATTCCAGAAACAAAAGCCAGGATGGTGTGATGGGGTCGGATGTGGCCGATGTTACTGAGTACAAAACCGATGAACATGAAGAAGAGGCTGACCAGAGGGAAGGGTGTGGCAGAGCGGATCATCTCTGGAGGAAGACAAGAAAATTGGTTTAGTTAGGGTTGCTAGTAGCCTAGTGGTTAGTGTGCACGCGCCCCAATAACAGAGGCTGGAGTCCTCCAGGCGAGCTGCGGGATTCCAATTTAACTTATGGCTCCTTTCACACATGTTGTTCCTCTCTCTCTTTCTCCTGATTTCTGACTCTATCCACTGTCCTGTCTCTCTAATAAAGGGCATAAACAGCCCAAAAATACACCTTAAAAGTGAAGTCAAGAGCTGTCACACTGATGGGACAGCTCTTCCTTCAGCTTGTATATGATTCGCTCGGAGGCTAAAACCCCTCTGAGGCTGAAACATGATTAATTCACCCTCCTCCCCTCCTTGTCCAACTGTTTGCCCTGCCATCTCGTTGGGGAAGAGCGACGGCCCCGCCCACTCACTGTTTGTAGAGGCATTATAACGGAGAGTTGTATATATATATATATATATATATATATATATATATATATATATGTGTATGTATATATATATACATATATATGTATATATATGTATATATATATATACATATATATGTATATATATATACATATATATATATATATAAAACAACTGAATCACCTTTGAGATGCATATCATTACTTGAAATTGGTCACATAAATTGATTGTTTTCAGATGTCAATTATCACTCATGTGCTGCTGCCTTACAGAACACTGCTAGTGAAACAGGACGGGAGGGGCGGAGGGGGGCTGAGGGAGGAAGGAGATGTGTCTGGAGAGAGCATTGTTTTGGGATGAAAATCTACTCTGAAAGTCGTATATTAACTTTCACAATCTTTGTTCCTACTTGTTTATTTTCTTTAAAATTCTCTGAAACTCCTAATGGCCTTTTTCTCCTCAGAGAGTCAAGTCAAAGTTTAATAAGGTCAGTATGGTCTCTTATTTCTATAAGGACCTCCCTACTGTGAGCAAACGGTTCAGCTGCTCACAAAAGTAAACCTTTCTGTGAGGTAAATACTTACTGCCCTCACTGCATGCACGACGACCACTACTTTTCCTTTGTCTTACTGCTTTGATATCAAAGACCTTCTTTTGACTGCAGCTTGAGCACTCAGGGGTTTTCGGATTTGAAGTGGTTTTCCTGACAGCATCACTCTCATGAGTCCTGACTGCTTGCACTCACACTAGCACTACTTATGTGTATCCATAAGTGCTCACCCTACAGGGGGTCTATACAACATGAAAATGGCACCCTTCAATTTTTCATGCACGCCAGCTCTTATCTTGGGTGGCCTGCAGTTGAGGTGTGGGCCAGAAATAACACAGACCATAAAGATGACGGCATAGTAAAGACATACGAACTTGAGTTCAGGACTTTTACTCGGGTTAGGCTTGTCATGTTTGTGATGAGTTTGTGAACTTCAAAGGAGGCTTAACGTGCACTGAAATCCATTCCAGCAGGAGCCCTGCGGCAGCAGACCGACAGGTGCTACCTCATGTGTTATCAGACGCTTTTTTCACCTGCCAGCCATGAGGTTCACGGTCAGGTCATGAAAGCCGTTAAAATGTTTGCTCAAGCAAGTGCACAGTGGTTTGAAGAAAAAAACCTAGACTTTGACTACACAACGATTCCAGTCGATGCTGAAAATGCAAAGTTTTAAGAAAGTGGACGTCTCCATCGTGGTGTAAACTGGCAGAATGGATTTCCTCTGATAACTGAGACTATTTGCACATGAACATTACGCTTCCAGTCAATAGCTGGACTACAACAACAATGGCGGACTAGTGGGTTCTTTCTGTGGAAATGTTGTCTGGAAATGACTTAATTATTTTGGGGCTTTTTTACGCCTTTATTGGAGAGACAGGACAGTGGATAGAGTCTGAAATTGGGGAGAGAGTGGGAAACGACATGCAGGTCGCATTTGAACCCTGGCTGCCCGCTTGGAAGTCTATTCATCCGTACATGGGGTGCACTCATTAACCGCTAGGGTACCAGCACCCCAAGACTTATGTTTAATGACCTATACTGAAGCCAGTCAGTAGGGGGAGCTCCAAATGTTTTGGCTTCACTTGAGAAGCTGTCATGATGTCTATCTTTTCATACAGTCTATTGTTTGAACCTGTCATCCAGAAGGGTCCTTGCAGTCCATATTACAGAAGGTGAGGCCATTTGGGGTTATCCCAAAGTTTTCAAATACTCCTACCCTATTTTCCCGGACAATCCCATCTCTAGTGTCCTTACTGTCATCAAACTAACACATTTCTTTTAATAGTAGTGGAGTGTGACAGTAACTTACTCAGAACACTAATAGTGGACTCAGAGCTTATCTGGACGGTGGTGGGCATCACATACTCTATGGTGAAACATCGGCCTTTCTCCTCACCTAGAACAAAAGACAAGAAAACACATAATTGTATAAAAATTCAGATTAAAATGAGTGGAAACAGGATTTGACCTTAAACACTGTAACAGCTTGTTGCAACAAACCCATTCATTAGTGACAGATAAAAGTTAAACAGAATTCAGACATCTGTAGAAGTTGGCTCATGCTGGCATGAGCTAACTTACTGAGGTGACTGTGATACAGGATCAGCTGGTTTGACTTGTGAAGCTTCTTGAGGACAAGCGTACAGCAGGTTTCAAGTGAACAAAAACTCAACAGCTTGTTCCATTAGACAGTGACTGTCTGCTGTCGCCGTCTCTACGAGGAACACCCCACATATACAGTTTTAGCACCTTCCTCTTTTTCCCACTTTGACACAAACACTACAGAGTCTGGCACCAAAACACACTGATGCAAAAACACACACTGTAACAACTGATGGCTTTATCAACACTTCATTAACCACACACATTAAAAGGTGTTGGAGCAGGTGATGTTTGGTGTGTTCAGCATATAAATTAAGTTTCACCATACTAGACCAACACTTAATAGGGGTTCGTTTCAGGTCAGTCCTATTAAAAGAACCTTAACATGCAGACTTTGCTGCACTGGCTGACATCTTTACCCATCACATGTAATTCAGGCTTTATTTGTCTCTTGTGATGTCTTGAAGTAAGATGTTGATCAGGACTTGTCCGGTGAACATGGCTTATATTAAAGGTAGAATGTGCAACTTTTTGATCCAGCAGATGTCGCTCTTGAGCACCAGCACTAAACCAAAAAAAAACTGCTGCATCTCCGTTGTTCTGAAACCTCCGCACACCTCCAACCCCTGTCCACTCGAGTTCGCACATAGGAGTTATCAATTAGAACGCATATTAATGAAGCACCATTAAGCACAAGCGGTGGACAAAATTGTCCTCAGCTCGAGCTGCAATCGCCTGTGGCCTGTATTGTTGTGTTAGCATGCTAATGTTAGCGCTCTTTAGTTAGCTGGTAGCTTCATATTGCTCGTAAATTGACACAGAATGGTCATGATTTAAAGACACTTCCTTGACATTCAAATAAGCAGTGAGTATGTTCTTCTTCTTTTCTCTAGTCCTTGACTAAAACAGCTTTATACGCAAGGCCGTCCCGTCCATGTAAACACGGCTCTGACAACAAAACAGCCTGCAGACTTCTCACTCATTGTAAACAGTCATGACTCAGAGAGACATTTACACAGGATATACTTTATTTATGATTTATTTATGTGTAACATGTCACACATTCTTCCTTTAAGTGTAGTGAGATATTTGAGACTATAATTTAGAGAAGCACACTTCATAAGTTTTAAAGAGGACATATTATCCCCCTTCTCCACCTTTTCAAACAGTCCCCTGTGGTCTCAATGAAACATCTGTGCTGTGCTTTGGTCAGAATATAACATAAATCAAGCACCAGAGGAGGTTTGTGACCCTGTATAAACCAGCTCTCTCAGAACGCTCCGTTTTGGTGTGTGTCTCTCTTTAAATGCAATGAGCCCCCCTGAGTTTTCCCGGTAGACATCACTCCTTTGCTAGCAAGAATAAAAATGGCCAACCTGCTCAAAAGTTTCGTTCTAGGCTGGAGGTGGGGTGGATGGGTGGAGATACCAGGGAATCCCAGTGTGACATCACAAGGAGATAACATTTGAAACAGAGCATTTTTCTCAGTGTTGTAAGACTTATGCAGACCACAAACAAAGGACTGGATGTGTTTATTTCACATTTTAGACACTCAGGTTACCCAAATATATGTTCAAAAACACTGTAGAAGTGGATTTTTCATTATATGTCCCCTTTAAATTATTGCAGTGTATACATGAACTTCTTTGTAAAGAGCAGAAGAGCTGAAAATAATTTGCAAACAATGACAGTATTGTTGGGCTAAAAAACATTCTGTCTGAATGTCTTGAATAAATATCCAACAATAAGACGCCCTGAATGCATGACAACTGTAGCTGAATGAGAAAAGAGAGGGTAAAAATAAAACATGTAGGAGTGTGTGATAGAGATGTTAAGATCCTGTCATTTATCCCTCCCCCTCTCTGGCTTTATATTTTTATTATTTTTGGCATAAAGTCTTTATTTAATGTCACTGGAATATATCCTCACACCCACACGCAGAGATTATGGAGAGTAGGCTTTTTCATTTCCCTGTTTGTTTGTTTTTCTCTTTATTATTCATATTAACGTCTACCTGTTGCCGTCTGGTCTAACCAAATGTAAATACAACAGGTAAAAAAAGATTATAATAGGAGCTCATGGTGATGCTTTCACATCCTTCCAAATGACTTAACGCCTCACGTCAGTCATTTTGGTAGGACTCTTTTTTTTGTGATCGCCAGCGTCTTCTTCAATTGTTTCCAATGAGGGGAGAGTGTTAGCAGCAGCAGGCGGCTGCCCAGAGTAAAAGCGCAGCGCCCAGCTCTGCCTTTTTTGTGCGGTCCCTCTGAGAGCTTGTAGTTTAAAATCCTTTAACTTTTCATAAGCGCGCTGTTGACGTCACAGCCGCTCTTTTCAACCGGCCAATTATTTAGTAGATCGGGCATGTCCTCGCTCACTGGAGCCGTGATAGACCCAACTCTTTCATGAATACCTACAACCTTAATGATGATGGTCTCGATATTATTGATTAAAGGTGATGGTGTTTGATAACGATGACTTATAAGATGGTTTCTATACTGATTAGAGCTCTCAAGAACTGCTGTCAATGTTGTACTTTGCCTCTGTGCGCTGCCTGTCAGCAGCTGTGTGTCTAATCTGACACAAAGCTGATCGTTTGCTCTTACTGACATCGTTTCCTTTTTTCTGCATCGCTTTGGATAAAAGCGTCTGCTAAGTAAATTGAAGAATTGTGAAAACGGGGCTGTCATTATTATTGAGCCAGACAAACTATGAGTGCAAGCGTTCTCCGTTTAATGTTCATAGTGAATAAAAAAAAATCAATCTCAAATAAAAAAACATGCAGTAAAAAGCAACGAGGCAGGGTCTTTCATACAGGGTGGTCAACAGACTGTTGTCATAGAGACAAAACGCATGTACAGCGCGTTTCTGCCTGAAAAAACGTCAGGTGGGGGGCACGCTGGTGGCGCGGTGGTTAGGGCGCGCGTCCCATGTGATGGGACTCTCGTCTCGAGCGGTGTCGTTCCCCGCTCTCTCTCCCTGGTTTCCGACTCTATCCACTGTCCTCTCTCTGCATTAAAGGCACGAAAAGCCCAAAATAAATCTTTAAAAAAAAAAACGTCAGGTGGACAGACAGGGCCTACGACTTGTTTTCCTGTTGTCATGGTATCAAAACAGGTATCATTTTTAGAGAGTAAAACGTTAGTAGACATTTAAAATTCTGGTATAATGAAAGCCTAATTTTAAACTACAAGCAATTTAAAAAAGTTAACCAAGCATTGAATGTTTAACACTCTACTTTATGACATGTATATTGACCATGACTGCAGCGCTCACTTTAACACACTGTACACTGTACGTGCTGGCTGTAAGTGTACAGGTCCACTGCATGAACTCTGGCTGACTGCCGAGCACCCGATGAACTTAAACCAACATCAGTTCGAGTCAAAACAGCGGACATGTTCACGTAATGTGTAGTAACCCGTCACAGGGACTGTGTAATTGTTTCTGGGTCAAATCAGTGATGTTAAGTGGGCAATAAGGCCACTCAATGGCCCCTAAAACACACACACCCACACACACACACACCCACACACACACACACCGGATCTCGCCTCCATGTTGGCCGTGACTGAACGATTAACCCCGACACAGGATGGGGCAGGTCAGCTGGGACACATGGGCCAATGGAACAAATCAACAGTAAACGGAATAACCTTATGTAAAGTCTGCGGTATGACACATTAAAGGAAGGGTTGGTAAAAAATTCTGAAAGTGGGGCACTGGTGGTTAGAAAGTGGTTAGTGTGCGCGCCCAATGTATGGAGGCTGTAGTCCTCCAAGTGTGTGGCCCAGGTTCGAATCCAGCCTGTGGCTCCTTTCCTGCATGTCATTCCCTACTCTCTCTCTCCCTTCCGACTCTATCCACTGTCCTATCTCTGCATTAAAGGCACAAAAAGCCCAAAAATAAATCTTTTAAAAAAGAAAATTGTGAAAGTAGCATTCCCTCAGTGCTCCATCTACACCCACCCCCTCCCCTCTGAGCTCCCTCAAAAGCCACGCCCCTCACTTACATCGAGTGCCGTTGGTCCAGAAGCAGACCTCAGCTCATGCTCTGAGTGTGGGCTCATGCATGCATGGGGTAGAGAACGAGCAGGGAGACAGGGAGGCTGTGATTGGTTCATCAGTTTGGTACCTCGTGGCAGACATTGGTCAAAGTTTTTACAGGCTTACAACTGCTACAGATGACAGATTTTCTTTGTTTCTTTTTCAGAGCACATGAATCAAGTGATAATTTTTGATAAATGTATCACCTGAAGAAAACCTCTGGTCAAAACGTTGTGATCAATGAAAACTTTTTGTGGCATTTGAGCAATTGTGCAGGCCTATCTGATTTACCTACCTCCTTTTTGCAAATACTTGAGTAGAACATTTATAAAACTTCTAAAGATAACATTCAGATTGTGCATTCAGTGTTTTCATGCAGAATGGGTCGCTAACTAATGATCCAGAAGTCTGTTTATACCAGATATTGCTAATGCAGGCATTTCTCAGAGAAAAGCAAATACTTGCAAATTACCCTTACACAGGACTCTTGATGAATCCTTCATTCTGTTTTCAATCCTATCTGAATGGTTACTAAATAAAGACTATTAAATGTAGAATTGCCGGATCAGGTTTGCTTGATAATCCGTTTTTCCCGTTGTTAGAATCAAGAGACTCACTTCCCAAAGCTCTGTCTCTGAGCAGAACACTGTTTGGGAAAAAATGGAACTCATGTCTGAAACGATAAATCTGGCTTACCTTGCCCCGAGGAATGAGAGATAAAAATACTTCATTTTTATATTCCAGACTTCAACCTAACTCACCAGCCAAGAAGCACACCCTCCAGAGTCCCGAGTGCAGGGACATGCGGATCTCCGTGCTCTGGTTGAGGGGAAGGATGACGCCTTCCTCCAGGTAGAGCCAGTAGTCGGTGCTTACGGCGATCCCCAGCAGGCCCAGGCCGCAGACAGCGAACACGCTGCTCAGCAACGTCAGCACCTTCCTGCCACATAGGCTCATACCACAGCCTTAACAGTAGGGGGATCGCCACCGGCAGAAAGGAGAGCTGGAAGAGGAAATATTGAGTATGAGTTTCAGCATTTGAATCCAGCCAGAGATGATTAAAAAAAATGGAAAGTACGTATATTGGAATATGATATTAGATAGCTCTAACAAAGGGCGGTCTTCCTCTTTGCTAATTAGACATCTTGGAAAGCTTCCCTCTCCTCTAAATCTCTCATCAGAATTTGAATAACCACATTGTGCAAGGCCAGCAGCATGTAAAGATTTTCATTGACTGCCCTAAAGATGCCCTCAAGCAAAAAAAAAGAAGAAGAGGAAAACGGCATAATCTGAGAGTTACATAATGCTTGAAAGACGAGTATTAGATTGAGTTAGTTTAGCTTTTCATCCTTTTGTGCTACATCACACACAACTCTTTCATGGGTGTGTACGGAGGACTGGCCTTCTAGAAGATACGATAAGTGGGGATATAAAGGGTTAATAAAAGTTATTAATTTGTAGTGTGTGCACACAGACTTTAATGCCACACCTGCATACACTAGTCCTCCAGCTGTCCCCGTACTTACAGAGGATATAAAATCCCTTCTGCACTGTTGCAGAGGCTCTGCACTGATGGTGTACAGTATGTGTCAGCGTCAGAATGTGTGCACTCCTCACACAAAACGATGGATCGTTTTTGTATGATAGCTGATGCCCACATTTGCCGGAAGCCGTAGCGCTGGGGAGCTTGGCATGTGGTGTGTGTTGAAAGGAATTGATTTTACATAATGAGTTCTCAGTGTGTTGCCACATCGAGCACCCACTGAGGGCCTGGAACGAAGCAGTGAATAGGAGAAAAGGATTCTGAACTTTTGCAAAGATTGGTGGCAGTTATTTCCCTCCGTGGATTTACTTTTTGTGTCGGCACCGGGTGTAAAGCCTCAGTGGAACAGAGCTGAGATTCACACACATCTGGCGGCGTGCAGTGTCTCAACAGACAGAACAGTGATACAGAAGGGTTTAGGTGTAGCACGCTTAGTTATAAATAAAGCTTCAGAGAACATGCAGCAACAGATTTCAACACATATACATCGAGTAGATTGAACTACTGCACTTAACATGCTCCACCACAGTTTGAAATATTTCATACAATACATCATTGAAGTCAGGATACATGATTCATCTAAACACAGTTTAATATGTTCCATATCTGTATCCGGTTCTGGAAAAGAAAATGCTCAACTCATCCCTCCTGTAGTGTTGTAGTCAAGAGCACACTAACGGAGACCAAGACATACCTGAGACCAGAGTGCTCCGAGACCGGGACAAAACCAAACCTAGGCAGGGTGAGACCAAGACCAAGACATTTAGAGATTGAGACCAAGTCAAGACCAAGACCATAAAATGTCACAGATAAATCATCATCCTGTGTGTAGGGGTTGTGTCACTCACTTAGACCGTGACACAAGGAAGGCTGTGGCCGTAACCAGGGGATACAAATCTAATTATGAATTAATTAAAGTTTCAAGATTTTCCTTCTAATCCCAGTGTTGAAGGGAAAACATAACCAGTGATGGTCTTGACTGACACTGCAAGCTACCGCATGCTAACTAGCTAGCACAAGCTAAGCACCGGTGTTTCGCACCTGCCTGTCCAGAAGAAAGCAGACCAATCCCACAGGCTCACTCTCATTATGGAAAGAGCTTCATCTGCTTGAGGTTTTGCCTCACTGTGATTATATATTCTCGTCTGTCATATTACTCATTTTGAATTGTGTCCAATCGCTGAATTATATCCACTCTTAAACTCACCATGTGCGCTGTCATTGGCTGGAGGAAACACACCAGCTCCCCAACCTGAAACGTCCCGAGTTAACCAAAACAGAGCAAAAGATCCAAATCCAGTCCGAGGACAGGGTCTCTGCAGACACGGTCACCACCACACATGTATGGAGGCCCAGAAGTGATGATTGAGCAGCTTTACTTTAGGATAAGTCGATACTCTGGAACAGATATTTCAGTTACTAGTTTATCTATTCATACCTTTTTCCTGCATCTTGAGACTATTACAATCACCGTCACTGAACATGATGTTGATTGGGAGCAGTTGCCATGTGAGTATCGGCAATCAGAGTTCAGTAAAGCACAAAGGGAGAGCTCTAATGAGAAAGGACTCTCATTAAACCTTTTCTATTCTTGACCAGGCTACAATCAGTGGTCATTCACTGACAATGGCAGCATGTACCAGTTCTATTTTCAGAACCGGTTACATTTATGCTTTCTATTCATAGACCTGTTTGTGTTGCCTTCAATCAAGGGATGTTTTGAGTTGTACAGCACAAGAAGCGCTCATTAAAGTTCTAATAGAATTTGCCCCCCAACATTGGTTGTCTTGGACTTCTATTTTTGTTGCTGTGGTATTCAAACAGGTATCGATATTCTTCACTTTTTACTACTATGGCATCAAAGTTGATCACGGGGGGGTGGGGTGCCTAATAGCCTAGTGGTTATGTTGCGCGCCCCATGTGCAGCGGCTATAGTCCTCATTGCAGCGACTGTGAGTTGGAATCCAGCCCGGCCCTTTTCATGTCATCCCCCCACTCTCTCCTCCCAACACTTCCTGTCTCTCTTCAGCTGTCCTATCTAATCGAATAAAGGAAAAAATGTAGAAAAAGAAAAAAAATACGTTATCACATGGCTGTGAAACACTTGATTTTGATTGGCCAGTTACACATAGAGACAGTCTGGCATTACTCGACAGATCACTGATGTTATATAAGAATAATTCCCTGTTACTAAGGTAAGCAGGAGGTTGCTAGGGACACAGTTCCTATCACAGAATTATGAGGACTAACTGTAATCATATCAGTCGGCTAAAAGAAGTCTGGTGGGGGATAATAAGTTAAGAGACGTGGATAAGCCTGGTCAGTGTCTCCCTATAGTCCCGGTGAGTTTTTCAAACTGTAAGGAGTTTTGTGCTTGTATGAAAAGACCTCGACTTTCTGAAAATAGTTGAAGACTTTCTTACACCATATGGCAAAGTGTTTGGCTAATGATTTTAACTTAATGAAAGAGAAAACAACTCAATATTTATTTTGATGGACAAGATGATTGACTGTGAACTCCTACCTCACCTTTGCTTTACTTTAGGGATTTTTTTTGACAACTAAAAACCTCCTGTGACTTTGGGAAGAAGTCCTGCATTACTCTGCAAAACAGCTGGAAAACCGCAGCTGAATTTGTGTCTTTATTCTTTTCTGTCAAATGTTTTTAAGCATCACTGTGGGGTCGTCTTTCTGCAAGCTTACTGACCACGCTACTGTGGCTGTAAAAGCGTGTCCGTGACAGCAGTCGCTCTCTCCCACTGATGTGGACATGCGACTCACACTGAGGAACCAAGCTGATGTTGTTAGGGCTGAACGGAGGAGCCCGAGGACAGCTGCAGTCCAATACACGAGAGAGGAGACATGACATGGAGCTGCAGACTCAGCTGCATGACTCTGGCTGCCCTCCATCATCATGTTCATTTTAAGCAGAGGTACTGAGAGGGAAACAATTCACATGCATGCTGACCCATCATGCATACTCCATCAAACCCATAAAAGTGTCAGCTGAATGCTCATAGAGTAAATTGCACAGGAACAGAATAAATAATCTAGCTCTGGAATGCAGAAAAATGGATGACACTGTTTTCAATCAGTCGTGGAGTTCTGGTTGAAGTTATGTTGTTACTTCCATGTGTAGGACTTTCATGGATCATTGAACTGGTGTCAATTTGTCCGTAGATACATACTAAAAATGCCTTTTGGAGCAAGATGTCTGCGTGTTCCTGACAGAGAAGCACATTCTCTGGAAGATTTCAGAGAGCAGTTTGTACCACATCAACGTTACCGCTGCTCACACAGTACATGGAAGTTGGCAGGAAGTCTGTTGCTCAGCAGGAATTGTTCTGGATGCAGCGCAGGGCCAGACTGAGAGCCATGTTTCAACACATAGTCCTTATAGGAAGCCATGTCTGCAGGTCATTTATGAAGTACTGGATGATCTATGGGCTCCTCCTCGACTTCTCATCCTCATCATGTTCATTTTAAGCAGAAATACTGAGGCGGAAACACTTCACATGCATGCTGATCCATCATGCATACTCCATCAAACCAACTAAAGTGTCAGCTGAATGCTCATAGAGTAAATCACACTAACCACACTCAAACATGGAGCAAAAACAAAACAAAGTTAGTCCATCATTTCAAAAAGCAAAAATGAACCATTCAAAACTGACTACAACAAATTAAGCTACAAAATGACTAAATAAATAATTAGATATATCCAATCTCTCTAATCCAAAAAGTCAGTACAAAGACTACGCTTTAACCCAAGACGTAACTAGTCAAAACTGCGGCTGATTCAAAGGTACAATCTATCAACTCTCCCACCCTGTCACAGTTCATTCTTAATATTAGTTATATACTGTGTTTATGTTGTTTTGTAAAATGAGCCTCAAATGTCTTAGAATACATTTCCAACATTCATGTTCTGACTATTTACTGTGTTTCTAAAATGTGTGCTCAAACAGGCCGTTTGGAGATTTTCCCTTCATGACATCACAAAGGGCAGTAACCCCTCCCCCAGGTGGGTGACACTCCCACAGCTAGGTGTTTGTTCTGCGCTCTGAGTCTGCCTTCTCACCGTAAACAATCGGACATGGAGCAAGAAAGCCCGAGTACACCCAAGACCTTCCAGAGAGGGGCGTGGTCAGACACATCTCATATACATTTAAAGGTACAGACACAGAAACAGCCTGTTCTGAGCAGGGCTGAAATAGAGGGGTTTATAGGCATGATCAAATACAGGATCACAGTGGATTTAGAACAAGAAACTTCACAGACATGTTTTGAGGAGCTCTGAGACTTATTTACACTGGTTGAAGAGGAGGAGAACGTGTCACCTTTAACCATAGACTGTGTATGACAAGTCAAGGTAGATGCTAAGTGTAAACCTGCTTTCCTTTTGATGGCCAACAGGGAGCAACCGGTTGCCATTAGTAGAGATTTTCCTCAAGCTTGTA